ATGTTACACTTTTAAGGACAAAAATATTATATTTAATTACCAATTGCTTAATGGTGGCATGCAATCATCTGACCCATAGGTGGCAGCCATCTCAAGCCAGAGGACGAGAGGACTCTAGCCGCCACGCATATAAAGGATTTATAGTGAAAAACTTTGTTTTTACAGGTTATATTGTTAAATCCTTTATATTAAGTTTGCTTGCTTGCTTGTGCGCTTACGACCGTGCAAATCTTTCGGTCGTTTTTTAACCCACTTCCCGTGATCCAATCGAGCTGACATTTTGCACACAGAATCGTTGTGCGTGACAATGTATTTTCGTGAAAAATTTTTTCCAAAATTGTACACTTTTTAGGAAAAAATAAATTATATTTAATTACCAATTGCTTAATGGTGGCAGGCAATCATCTGACCCATATGTGGCAGCCATCTCAAGCCAGAGGACGAGAGGACTCTAGCCGCCACGCATATAAAGGATTTAGAGTGAAAACCTTTGTTTTTACGGGTTGATTTTTACATGCTTTTTTTATTACACGCTTTTATTTAACTCACTCTGTTGTTGTATCCTCAAATCTTGTAACTAAATTTTTACCCACTTCCCAATGTACTATCGACTGCAAACTTGGTATATTTATGTCATACTGATGACAAGACTATATTCTATCATAAAAAAATCTAAAACATATATTTTAAGACATTTTTTCACACGATTTGATAAACTCACTCTGTCTGTTGTCGTATCCTCAAATATTGTAACTCAATTTTAACCCACTTCCCAATGTCGTATCGACTGGTGACAATACTATATTCTATTATTAAAAATAAAATATCTATATTTTTTAACAATCTTTTGTATATGTTATGTTTCAGCTTGGGTTTAATTGTCCACGCTCAACTTACGTTGGCTATAAATCACCACGGTCCTGGAGTCGTGGAGTTCTTACATTACTAGTACGGTACATTTCATTAAAGCGTGTTTTTAAAAAAACTTTTTTTATATTACTTATTTCGTGTCTCTCACGAGCTGCTTTCCCAATGTGGGTCATCCTGCATTCGTTGTGCTTATGGGATGTAGTACTCGTGGGTGGTGACCGTGGCGGGACGCTTTAGGAATTTGCTCCGGAGATTTAGGTCAGTTGCAGCCTCGACATGTTGACTGGAGACCTTTCTACGTCTGGCCAGAGGCAAGGGGGTCCGAGCTGTTACGACGACTCGAGTCCATGCAGTGCAAAACACGTGACTCGTCATTGAAGGCGTTACAGTAGAAGTATAATAAATAAGTTGCTCTGTACATTTCTATTTAGGTGATCTTACATTTTTCTACGGACCGATTGTGAGTAATCTGCAAGTAAACTGGCGACTTCGTTTAAGAAACTGAAACGAGTGTTTTGATGCTGTGAATAAAGACCAAACAGATAGTTGTTATCTTTTTATGACATAAGCCTGGTCAACTATTCCACACATCATAAAGTAGGTATGATGTAATTAAAAAGATATCTGGAGCTGACTAAGCAAGCAGTATCATTTTTAGTCAATGCAGCCAACCTTTCCAGGGTGACATCAGCTGCTTTATGAAGTTTGTGCACTGTGTTTTCATTTCCGTTAAATTCGGCACCACTTAACAAAAAACATGTTGGCAAAGTTTTCATTGAGACGGATCAGGACACCAAGTGGTTTATTTATTTAAAGCATTGCTTGCTTGGCGTTTACAGCCCATTCCATGATTGCACAGGAGTAATTTGAAGGTATTCGCGAGTAAACTGGAGAACCGGTTGGTGTCACGCCCAGACTTGTTCCTTTCAAGAGGCAATGGCAGACATCTGTGAAAATTGCCACAAGGCAACTTCATGCTGAGTTTAGGCACTGGCCTTCCCATCGGGAAACCCTGTTCTTGACGTGGCTATTGGCATAACGCTTAAGGAACTCTATTGGCCGTGGTGGAAGAAGCATATAGCAAAAATATACCTCGCAAAAGTCAACACTATACCTGGGAAACTTACAGAGCAAACGTTTCGAGTGACTCCCCATTGCTTGCTACAGAAAGGCCATTGGAATAAATGTTCACATAGGCCCTGTATTTAACTGTCACATTGATCGACATATGGAAGTCATTAATACATTTAAAAAGCCAAATGTGTAAATAAACGTGACTAATCACGTTTGTTTGTTTTATGCATAGGAAATATGAAACATGTACTATGTGTAGAATATATACAATATTTTTGTACTGTTTGGCTTCAGGTACTGTAATTTTACATGCGGGACAACGTTTTGACTGCTTGTGAGTTAAATGATTTGAGCTTGAAGTAATACAATGAAATATGTTTCGTTTGTTCTGAAACAAGTTTATTATCAAAACCACTCAGGAGTAGGCCATGAAATGAGCTGTAATTGGTCCAGAGGATGTTATGTTACAGTAAATTACCCACTTATGTTAACGATTCCAATTTCATGACATGTTAAAAAAAGGAACACAGCATTTTATATGTTGCACTGCTGTATATCGATTTTTGTAAAGTAGTACAGGATGTTTACGTACCAATTTTTATGATTTAATTGATAGCAAGGTGAATTTGGCAGTTAACTTACATGCAAGTGCTCATGTGGTATCGGAAATGGGTTTGTATTTGAACCATCCGTTAATTCGGCTATGCATACCAAAGGGTTAAACATCTCTAACAATATCCAAGAACTGGCAAGAGTTCCATGCGATCGTGGTAAACTTTGTGTTTGAAGGAGCCTTGTGTAAGGTACTGTTTTTATTTACACATTTCTGTTGGATAATGAGTTGTGGGAAATCAACCGCCACTTATTGCTCAATGGGACGATAGCCCTTGTTGCAAGTCACTCACCCTTGAGCATGCTGTGTGTTTGATCCCACTGAGGTGGAAGGGGGGGGGAAGGCTGGTTAGGGTGTCCGTGTGCGTGTACTTATCCGATATCACACACAGACGTACAAGACTCAAATATCTACACGTTCTGCACCGCCGATCACAAACGCTTTTGCCGGAGCTATTGCATTATTCATTATCACTGGAGCTACCCTGAAGGTAACTTTACGATTATATCAAGCATCAAGCTCTTCAGTTAAAACCTCGCATAGAGACAGCCTCTCATTGAACCCATATATATACCTCAGTGGTAGGTGTCTGCCAAGCCTTCTGATGAGTGCACCTTTTAAATGCGATATTTCGTGATGAGCGTTTTACCGTAATTCGCTGGTTCATTTATTGCATCGAGATTGAGGCAGCAGCGTAGACTTGCTCCGTGTTCTTCCTCCGTGTTCTTCCCATCACAAGAACCGTGGCCATCTCACGCACTGCCTAACCCTCAACTCGAGCTCTGTCCTCACTCTGATTCGTGTTGTCATCCGCTCTCACTCGTACCAGCCCTCTCACACACTCACCTGCACACTCTCCATCGCTGTCTCCATCACTCACACAATACCCGTTACCCTCACTCTCTGACATCCGCTGTTTTCTCTCACCACCTCTCCCTCTCGAACGCTCTTCCAGTCTCACGGGCACTCCTCCTGCCTCTTGTGCACGCATCACTCTTCCTTTCGTTCTGCACGCTCAGCTGCACGACTCATCACTCACCTGTACTGACTCTGAGCCGCCAACCGGTGTTAGGCATCTTCCTCTGGCAGTGACAAGTATGCGACCGTTGATCAGCATACCAATATTGTTCTGTCTGTGCATCAGCACAGGTGAGTCGCGGATCCTGATTTAGTTATATTAAAAGTATTTTTCAGATTTTATATATATATGAAAAAAGTTATTTTCCATGTTTTTTTTGTACATCTGTTTATTTGCGTGTAAGATTTTAAATAAATCGAGATATTTTTAGTTTAACTTTCTAAAGTACACTGCTCAAGTATAACCAGTTACTCGATAGTAATTTATTGGGATCTTATTGTGGAGAAATTTTAGTCCGAATCTCCTGCCTTTCCCATCTCTTTGCCTTCTCTAAAAAGAGGCATTTATCCAAGATTTTAACTTATTATTTATATATCAATATCTTGTAAGACGATGTGATAAATAATGTTCATATTGTACCTTTTTGGCATATTCACAGTTTGCTGGGACAGTAAGCGTAAACACTGAATAAAGTATCACGTGCTATCAGAAGTAGTTCACAAGCTCCAAACGTATGATAATTTGTGAACAATTGAAATTATTGATGTTTCATTGCATCCTTGTTGATTATTTAAAACAAACTGCAGTATTTATGTTATGGTTTGCATTACCCATATGCACTGTGACAACATGATAAAAATGCAAAAATTAGCATCCCGGTTTCATATCGTTGCCCTTTGACAAAATTATTCTGGAAATAACGTCTGAGTGACATTTTAGTCTGACGGAGTGGCCACACAGAGGAGAGACACTAAACAATGGTGGTTCTGCGTGGCTTTATACGGTAATCCTTGCACGTTCCCCCGGCAGCACTGCTGTGTTGCAGCTACGAGACAGTTTCATACAATTACCGTACGACGATTAGACACAATATATCAATAACCCCATGGGCAATGTTTGGATCCTGGACAATTCCTGTATATTTTTAGCAAATGTCCCTTTTCATACAATGTATCACAAAGACGTGCAGATGTCTTCTTGGTTCTTTCGGTAAAGTCACGCAGAAGGGAAATAATAAAAATAAAACAATAAAATGCAATTCTCACGACGTTTCGGTCACAAAGCAAGCAGCCGTCCTCAGGTGAAGAACAGGGCTGTCGGAAAGACAGCCCTGTTTTATTTTATTATGTTTAATTTATTTTATTATTTGCCTTCTACGTGACTTTACCGAAAGAACCAAGAAGATGAATCCCTGCAGTCACGAAAGCTTTAAATCGAAACGTGCAGATGTCTCCATGAACAACATCGGGGCGAGTATTTTGATTCTGTCGCCAACGTGTACACATTCCACTAAAAGTGAATGGAACTCAAGCCAGGAGCTTTTCGGTTTTTAATGACGGATGTAAACATCCCCCTGTCCCGCAGAGAGCTTATGCGAGGATGAGACGTGCACCGGGTGCCTGCGGAAAGGCTCCGAGTGTGGGTGGTGCTCCCATGAGGTGCCCCGCTGCGCTGTGCCGCCACACATCCCACCACACATCCCACCACACATCCCACCACACATCCCACCACACATCCCACCACACATCCCACCACACATCCCACCACACATCCCACCACACATCCCACCACAAAGACAAAGATCCCACGAGTAGCCTTAACAGACTGTTGGGACAAGTGCTGTTAGCAAGCACCGATGAAGGCCGGCACACGAGGGGGTGTGTGGGGCTAGCACCACACTCGGTCGCTTTTATCTCCTCAGCGGTGATGTTTACACACCACACCAGGTATTAATTTGAGGCTGAGTCGACCTACAGGAGGCCCAGGACCGGTTCAGAATAATGGTCACTGGTGTTCGCCGTGATTGGGAATTGAACTTGGATCACCAGGTTCGTAGCGCAGCGCTGTAACCGTTACACTACCGTTCCTCACTCCACCCGCAACTGGGATAACACTTTAAAGTCTGAGCATTGATCAACAAAGCTGTATTTTGTAAACTCAATTAGTATGGTGGAGGAGAATACATCTCGCTTGCCCCTTTGCACTTCAAAGAGATGGTGTTTTTCCTTAAACAGAATGAGTATTACAATTGTGTGTGCCTGTGTGCTATTCTTGTGCATGTATGTGTACGCAGGAGAGTTGTCCTGTTTTCTGTATGTGTCGTGGGTTCAACTGAGCCGCAGACGTCGACTTCGGAGGCAGCGCATTTATTTAGTTCCAACAGACGGGGTACACTTCCCCTTCACACAATAACAACCTTGGGTGGTGACCACCCGGCTAACTACACTAGGTACCACGTAACTGTTACTACGGACCCGGGACCAATAGCATCTGCACGGGTCCACGTGCTGGAAGACTCGAAGGACGGAGATCGTAGACGAAGGGTTTCTTTCCCGGGATGAACAACCCCGAACCCTCTCGGGACCCGGCTTATATTCTCTGCGGTGTGACCGGCTCCGCCCTTGGCCCCGCCCCCCTTCCAGAGCCATCGGGAAGGACCTGGGTCCCAATCACGTGACCCCCCCTAGCCCCCTCTTGGAGGCCCCCTTTCATCTTAACCGGTCACGTGTCCTCCCGGGTCAACCAGAGTGCCATGGCCTCACACGACCTTCCCCTTAGGTCGGCAACTACACATCGTGTTCTGTAGGGCCGGCACTGCACTTACAGCATGGTGTCATCCAGTGATGTGAGGGGCCGTCCATAAAAGACGTCACGCTATTTTGGCCGATTTTTGACCCCCCTCGTCACACGGCGTCACAAAAAGTCACACCCCCCCCTCAAATATGACGTCACAAAGCTCTTCCCCCCCCCCCCCCCAAAACCATATTTCCATTTCTAAAATAAAACATGCTTCAAATCACTTTAAACTATTATCATTGTAGTGCGTATTTAATGTGGCGCTGCACTCTGATGTTGTAGGATAAAATATGTATTAAAAAGGAGGCGTTGGAAAGCTGAAATTTTGCATGAAATTCACTTTAAAATATTCAACCTCTTACTAAAACTGCAGATGTTCAGAATATTATATTGAAATTCTCTTATAGTTCTAAAATATTAAAAGTAATTATAACTATAAAAAAATACTTAAAACTTTGTAGTACAACGAAGCAAAATGGAGAGTACAATTATAGCAATCACATATTCATTCCACAGAATGAAAAGCCCTGGTAGAATTATTATAATCAAAATGTTTAATAACAATCATTAAAAATTTTTACAAAATGTATGCTTCTCCATTCTCCCATGGAGAAGCAAAATGCTCCTTCATGGAATAAATAAAAGGTGACCTTAGTAAATTTAAATATCAAATAGTTAATTAAAATTCATCAAAATTAGTGTTGTTATAACAATTCTTATGTAATTAATATTTTTTAAAGTTGCGCATTTTGATGTGACGTCACATTTCTCAACCCCTCCCCCCCTCGTCACGCATCGTCACAAATGTCTGACCCCCCTCCCCCCCTAGGTGCGTGACGTCATTTATGGACTGCCCCTTACTCAACGCACACCGTTCCCCTCTAGGGCCGGTACTGCACCCACAGCATGGTGGCATCCAGCGATGTCACGACATTTGTATGGGCGATGCTATTGTATCTAAGGGGTCATCCATGCGGGCCCTCCAGATGCATGGTTGCATAACAATTTTATTTCTGATCATGAACAACATCAGTACAAATTGATTCTTACTGAAATTAACCTGTGCTTTCTCGAGGTCAATTAAGCTTTAACATTATCACTGGTACTGACATCACTCGCTCACATACGCGTCATTACAGCCTCTACAAGCACTTGCTAACACCATTATCCTTTCAGGCTGTAGGTCTAATTGTAGGATTTACACTTAAATATATTAAAAAAATTATTGTCACCGCCGTGTATGTGTGCTTTTGCCCTGCTGCTACCCAGCCATGCAGGAGGCCAGGTGGACGTTGTGGACCGGTCTGGCGGTTGCTGGCGGAGGGTTGCGCGTCGCAGCACATCAGGACAGCCGGCGCGTGCGTCTACACGGAGGACCCGTCGGACCCCTGGGGGCCTCTGTCACCTCACCGCGCCGCCGTGTGGCTCCGGCCAGGTGCTCAACCGCACGCCACGTCTCATTTCCCCGTGTCAAGAATGGAGGAGGGCTAAGTGGCCGTGCCCAGGGGCTTGCAATACTTGACTGCTGCCACATATATTAAAATTGGTTGTAAAACCCAACTGGAAACAATGGTACAGTACACTTATAGCACATTAAGGTATGGAACACCTGAGCCATAAGTTCAAGGGGATGGAGGGAGAATTCGAGGCCAGATGGTCCCCCCCTTATACAATAGCTGAAATAAGTTATCAGGATGGAGGGTCGGGAGATAGGGACTGAGGATAAGGGGCATAACCACAGCAGATTAGACGGGAGCCAGGTTGTAATGAAAGATTGCTCGTTTATGTCGCCTATTATGTTTTTATTTTCTTCAGCCGTGTTTCGGTATTCTCTTATCATCCCTTCCCCCTTACTTAAAAAAGAAGCTACCATTTCCCCTTTTGGTGGGACTCCTTGTGGTCTGGAGCAGTGAGCCCCCGTTCCCCATCTGTCTATCCCCCTGCTTCGTAACCGGTTTGGCTGATGTTGACGGTGTGTATACGTGCATCACAATGTGATGGGACAGGCGCTCACATTGCAAGATAGCACGAGGCTTCGGAACGGTCCCCCATGCCGAAGTTGCGTACATTGCTGCGTTACTCGGCAAAGTTAAGCAGAGTGGAAAGAGGCGATAAAGTCTGTAGGAATACGATTTACATGAATACATATGTATTATATTCTTGGGTCGTTCGGTAGTCACGTAGATAGGTTCAAAGGAAAAAAATAAAAAACTAGACGTTTCGATCGCAACACAAGCAATCGTGACTTTACGAAAGACCAAAGAATATTAATTCCTGCAGTCACGAAAGCTTTAAGTATACATATGTATTTATATTTATTCTTTGTTTTTTTCGGTGAAGTCACGTATAAAGATAAAATAATAAATTAAATAATAGCATACGACGTTTCGATTGCAACACAAGCAATCATCATCAGGTATAGTGAAATAGCGACATAAAATCTAACCAGAAAACTATAGACAGACATATAAGCAGACAGATATCACCAAGATACATAGATCGAGCAACACAGGTACAGAGAGGGGTGATCGTCTCTGTGGGGTGGCCTTAAATAGATACGAAGGCTTAGAGGGAGTACCAAGATACATAGATCGAGCAACACAGGTACAGAGAGGGGTGATCGTCTCTGTATTTAAACGGCCATGAAAGGAAAATAGGTGTTGTTTAAGGCAACAGCCCTTCTTTATAGCAAAGGTCATTGCCCAAAATGTTGTCTATTATATATATGTATTATTTTTTATGAGAACATTATTGATGGACATTTTGAGCTTTTCTTATTTGTGCTCGTGAATCACTGGCAACACAGCATCACAATTTATATTTATATACATTTGCATTTGTTTGGCCAGAAAAGTCTCATTGAGACTCAGTATGCTTAGTAGGGTTCTGCATTGGAATGGATGGTGTACGTCTCTGAAAGTATTTTTAACACGAAGGAACACTGGAGTGCTCACAAAATGCATATGCTTAACATTAAAACCTCACACATATAGCCGATTAGAAACCCACTTGCTACACTGCCTCCTCCTCTGCAGGTGGGTCTTTCCTGCCAACTCAGTGAGGTTTTCCTCAATCAACAATCATTCTCCACAGTACGTTATTCAAATTATTATGGCTGCAGAAACTCAAGATTATGGTGGAGGCTCCTGTCAAAGCCTCTCTCATTCCTTTGCAATGTACTGTATGTATGTTGAACTTCTTTCACACCGTCAGTAACCAACCGTGCTAATTATAATCGGAGGCGCTAAATCGGAGGCGGTCAATTCTCACCCACGTGTCCGCAAGGTGACACGGCGAGCGTGCAGCTGCTGGTGAGACGGAATTTGGGGCCACCGCCAGCACTGGACGTTTACTACCTCATGGACGCCTCGGCCTCCATGCTACCGCACTTTCGGGCGGCCAAGGACCTGGGTTCCCTGTTGGCTCGGGTCCTGGGAGACGCAGCTCCAAGGACTGGGCCCCCTGGAGGTGGTGCGGGCATTCGTCGAGCGGACCACGTGCTGCACCTGGGGTTTGGGGCCTTTGTGGACAAGCCCTTGAGCCCCTTTGCCAGCAGCCTGCCTGAGCGCCGTCTAAACCCTTGCTGGTGCGTCAGGTCCTAAGTCGAGTCTGTCAGTGGGGGAGCGGTAGCGTAGTGGTTAGAGTGCTGCGCTACAAACCCGGCGACCCGAGTTCGATTCCCCGCTTACGGCCACAAACACTGGCAACGATTATTCTGAACCGGTCCTGGGCCTCCCGCATGTCGATTTGGCCTCAAATAATTACCTGGTGCGGTGTGTAAACATCGCCACTGGGGAGGCAAAGGTGGCCGGGCGTGGTGCTGGCCACCCACCCCCTCGTGTGCCATGCCGGCCTTCATAAGTGCTCCCCAACAGCACTTGCCACAACAGTCTATTAAGGCTATACGGCGGATCTTTATATTTGTGTTGACTCTAGGGTACAAAGACCCATCACTTATGTGACATTAATTAAACGAGTAGCGTTTTGTGAAATGTCAACTAGTGGTTACTGGTTGTCCTGTGGATAGACTCGCTCCCATCAAGGGAATGTGGAAAATATCTACCGCTGTCTTACGGCCACCGATGGACATGAGCACTACTTGTGCCTGTTTGAACATGAAGACGCTGTAACTTTGCTTGTTAGTGCGTGTACATGAAAATGAGTGATACATAAGTAATATCATATATTTGCCGGCACAGTGGAGTCAATTTAAATTCAGTTTGTGCTTGTGCATGGATGCATGCGGATTCAATATGTAGGTTGTGTGGTGCACACGCTTCTCAGTAATGGGCAGCGCGTGTGCAGCATTTGTTTACGTATGGTCCTCACCGCAAGTGCTGTGGGGGGGCAATTGTTCATTTCCCCACCAAAATTCACGTCTACCGACAGGCAAACCGAGTGAGGGCAGGGGTCAGCGGTGCCTCTCAAGGGAGTGGGGATGAAGGAGTGGACTGCGACCCCATCATGTGCATTATCCACATAGCACGATTTTCACAAAAAATACACGTCCCAAGTCGACGTAGGGCACGACTCATGTCCCCTGCATTATAATCTTCAAATACCTTCTTTGCACAGCGCAGTATATGCACGCTTGGTTCTTTGTTTTGGCCACATGACTTTGGAATATAATACCGACACATCCAGCTGTTGTCTCAAAGCAATGCAGGCGAGTCATGCTGGCTGGGATGGGTTTGTGTGTGTATGTGGGGGACATGATTTGTGCAGGCCAGCTTGTTATGAACGGCACACCGAGGCCAGGCTTTGCCACCAAATTTTTTTTCTTAAGAAAAAATTATTGGTTTTGGCAAATATTTTGTCAAACTCAAGCATGCGCTTCTATATATATAGAACTGCATATTTATTTAGCAGAAGTTAACAAAAAAAATGCAACTTGTATTAAATCCCCAAAGCGTCCAGCACACGGAGCTAAATGTCAGATTTCATGCTGAACAACATGCGGTGCGACCATAGATACACATCAGATCGCATCGCGTGTGTAGTGTGCTAATTCACAGACACTAGTAGGAGGTACTCTCTCTATTTTATTCCGGCCTTCACAGCCTTAGGGGATAACCACATACCGGGTCGGGACAGCCAACATGCTGCCAGACCCACAGCTTGAAGAGAGCGAAGATCACAACGCAGCAGCCCCGACTGTGAGTCGGAGCTCGCCTTTTATCCTGAACAGCGTGGCCAGGCTCCGCCCTCGGCCCCGCACCCCTCTGGATCCCCCAGAGGGCTCCATGCCTTGCCCACAGGTGCAACTGGTAGAACGGGCTGTTACCCCTAATTCTATTGTCTACCAATCTCCCAGCGGCACGCGCTACAGTGACTTATTCAACGTCACTACACATGTATAGCCGCATGCGGGTGGATGTGCATTTGGGGTGCGTGTGTGTGTGGGAGCGGTGGTGCAGCGTTTAGCGTTCTGTGCTACGAACCCGGCGACCTGAGTTCTATTCCCACTCACGGCCAACACCAGTGACAATTATCTGAACCGGTCATGGGCCTCCCCAAGGCCTCAGTGTGTAAAAACAGCACCACTAGGAAGAGAAAAGGGGGTTGGGTGTGGTATTGGCCACCCGCCCTCTCGTGTTGCTGTGCCTTCCGTTCATAAGTGCTACTCGCTATCAGTAATTGCCCCCAACAGTCTGTTACAGGCAATACGGGGGTTTGGGGGGGGTGGGGGATCTTTGTCTTTGTTGCACCTATGTGTGCGCACATCGCAGGGTGGTGGGTCTCGTGTGCCTCCCGCCGTTCTCCTTCTGGCACGCGCTGCCGCTGGGCAGCGTGGCGGTGGCGGACGCGGAGACGGTGCCCCCAGTGCCAGAGTTCACGCTGCGAGTGCAAGGCCAGCGCATCTCTGCCAACCTGGACGCACCCGAGGGCGGCTTGGACGCCATTCTGCAGGCTGCCGTCTGCAAGGTTAGGGGAGAGGTGTTTGTTCGTTATGTATTTACAATTGCTCTTTTCTTTGTGGGAAGTCAAGAGTGGCTGCCCTATGCAAAGACTGGCCTTCACCGTAGGAATACAAAGAGAGATGTGTAATGCCCTTATCTTGTTTGGGTGGGAAGATACTTTTGCTTTTTGTCCACAAATTCAGGTTTATGCAGCCTTGCCCTCTTTTTTTCCCCAAAACATTTTCATCTCAGGTTCTTTTAAATGTAAGAATTGGCCTTGATGCAATTCTAAATATATATTAAAAGTGTATTTTCATGAAAAGCATGGCACAAATGCTGTGTACTGTGTATGGAACTTGCAAATGCAAGTAATTCATGCACTTATGTTAGGTTCGCCACATGTATAAATAAACAATGGAAACTGTGAAGTGTGTGCCATGTTTTGTTCAACTAGCTGACTTAATAGTTGGCAGATGTAAGTGTAAACTTCATTGCAGAGTAAACGTTTTTTTGGTAATGTGTACTGCCGATACAATACCTCTGACAAAATATTTCTACATAGTTGCATTATCCTAGCTAGTCGGTGTACTCATCTCACAATCAAACTGGAGCATTCAGCGCACGCTACAAATCGTTGCCGACTAGGGCCATCGTCCATCGCGGTCAGATATAATGAGGACATCTTTGTGGGAAACCAGCGGTGGCTGCCTTATGCAGCAAAGAAATGCGTAATTTCCGACAATGTCCGTATTGTAAACAAACACGAGCAACACCAAACACTAACTTGAACAGGGAAACGCTTGAAATTTTAATGCATGTCACCTGTTAAAATACGTATACATAAATTGTTCGTAATGATCCCTTTCCTAAGTGATACTTGAAACAACTGACAAAGTGGCTTGTAGGTGCAAATGCATATCTATGTAATGACAGTGTAACACCTGCTTGCCTGGAAGGGGAATCACAGGTACGGGCACGGTTAAGTAACAAGCATGCCAGCCAGCCAGCCAGCGGCGTAGCCGAGTGAGGACGATGGGACTACGCTGAGTGATCGGCTGTGTGTCGCCAGTAGAGACGTTAATACCTAATGTTGTACTCAGTGTGAGAAGGAATAAATATTGGCCTGTGTTGTGCCCAGTGTGAATAATACATAAGAAGTACACTCTACACAACGTGTCGCGGAAGTCGCTCATTACACCTATTTGAGAAGAGCTGATGGGGCTTTTTCTGCAATGATGCTACAGCAATGTAATCTGTTAGATGACGTACAATTTCCCCAGAAAATGTACCACAATTTAAGATGAGGTTTAAAAACGCACTTCATTCAAACCGATGAGGATATCCTAAGCGTACAATTATGTTATTATAAAATCAAATGTATACATGCTATTGGTGGTTTTGAAAATGTTTAGCGTTTTTTTAGTTCATGCATGCTAAATATGTGCATTGTGCAAATACGCAGCTTAATTCCACTGGTGCTCCTGTATTTGTTTTTATACTTGGGCAAGGCACGGTGGTCAAGTAATAAATTATGACGACGATGACAATGATGATGATAGACCCACACAATGCAAGAGAGGAGGCCTTGAGCAATGAGCTGGCTCAGGGCCCTGTGTGCGCCCCCACACAGGAGCAGCTCGGCTGGCGGCCAGGTGCGCTGCACGTGCTCCTCGTGGCCTCGGACGCCGACCTGCACCTGCCCCTGGACGCGCGTCTGGCCGGAGTGGTGCGGCCCCACGATGGACGCTGCCACCTCAGCGGGCGCTCCGTTTACACGCGCGCCGCCAACATGGTGCTGATTGGGGGAGGGCAGGGGATGCAACGTTGGCTGAGATGCACGCCACTCTTGAGGGATAGAGAGAGAGGGAGAGGGGCAGTAGTGGGACATGCGAGCGAGGGAGTCAAGTCCACAAAAAAGTCTACTCCAGAATATGTTTGCTTCAAAACTGTTGAAAGCTAGTTTTGCGTTTATTCTAATAAGTAATAACCTTTTTGTTGTTGTTGGAATTCATCCTGCTGTTTGAGCAGCTATGTTTAGTTAAAATAACAAGACAAAGTACATCCGAGTTAAATGGTTATAGTCACAAGCAGGGAATCATGTATTTTTGATCAACTTTGAAAAAATAGTGTGATATAGTCTTGTAGCAAAGATACAAAATTCAGATGTTGAATGAAAAATATTAGATTTGCAAATCTCTCTCGATTGCTATGTGAAGATGGGGGAATTGAAGAGGTCATACACTAAGACACTTGTTTCTTACAAGGAACGCTAACCCCTTCAATCACCTGTTTTGGTCTTGTGTCACCTGTCAATTTCACCAAGCATCTTGAACCAAGAGTGGTGAGCAACCATTGCTACTTGAATATTTTTTGTGAATGTGTAGTGACATCATGGAATTGTCACTGTATGGTGCCAGCCCAGAAGGGTCGTGCCGTTCGATGTTCCTACATCGTGGACAGCACCGTGTGGGTGGCTGTGTGTAATACCAGCCCTAGCGGGGCTTGGCGAGCACTGGGATAGTGCGGGCACCACGCACAGCGTGTGGTGGGGGCTCCCTTGAGGGGGAGGGGGTGAGTGTCAGCCCAGGTTCAGGGTTGCCCCGGGCCATGGCACTCTGGCTGACCCCGCAGACACGTGATCCGGAATGTCCACACAGGGGGCCCCAGGTAGGGGGACTAATAGGTGATCACGTGTCCGAAGA